CCCCCCCGCAATTCCTTCGTATTTTGCAAAGTCTCCCAGAGCTGCTCCATCCGGGTAGAGACACTCGCAAGATGCCTCTTTTTCTCTCTACCGACGTTGGTTCGTTGGGCTCACCATTCTGGCCACCCAAAAGAAGAGGATGTCCATGCCCGTCTCCAGCAGCGTCGTGGGGAAGAAGGCCTTGAGGTCCTCGCTGTCCACGTCCGGCCACCCGAATACCGAGAATGGGAAGAGGCCCGAGCTGAACCACGTGTCCAGCACGTCCTCGTCCTGGCTCAGGCACACCTGGTAGCACAGGGAGGGGGCGGGGGGGGGGTTGGAAACCTCGTCTATGTGTTCTCCGAAACCTAGCGTGGTTGGTACTTTCCTTGTACTGCGGTACGCCTTTGTGGGCTAGAGCAGTGGTACGTAAAATAAGCAAGGATTGGGATGTACCTATGTAACACAATCGCTTGTTCAGGATGCGGTACTATACGACGCGTCAAAACCATGACATACCGTAAATTACCAAAGGATATGCTACGACAGAGGTGCGAAGTGGAATACGAGCCGAAACACAAAGTTCCTTTTTACAAACAAACAAACAAACAAAACAAATATCAACAAGTCCATGGAAGACAAGACAAAAACATAAAACAACTTCGAAACGAAAAATGCAAAAAAAAAAAAATCATGTTGTGGGCTGTCTTCACATAAAAACCGTTCCGGTCTCTTCTCAGTACCTTCTACTTCTAATGTCCGTACCGGTCCAACTGACGCGGACGTCTTCCGTGGTCACGAACCAACTACAGTGCCGGAAAGTGTGAGACCGATTTTGGTTGACCGTCCATAACTTCACGAGTTTTTCACTTTTTTCATTTTTTTTTCTAGTAGTGATCTACATCCGATTTGCCACAGGAGTTGTTCGGGGACCAAATTGATTTGAGGCGTTCCTGGAATATTGTGGTTTTCGTAAAGGATTTTTAAGGCATTACCGGGAGGGGGGGGATGATAACTTTTGACCTAATATTTCGGTAACCACGAACTCAAAACACCCTGTACCTAATTGTTTTTCAATGTATCGGCGGGGCTTGAGTAGAGAAGAACGAAGATACTCCTGAATAAAAAAAAAAAGTTGGTATGTGTATATGGCGCCTTCCTGGGGCGGGACAGGAAAATGTAGGTTATGATTTTTTCTTAAGTTTTTCTTCACCACCCTCGGGGATGATTCCGCCGCAGTAAAATACCTCTGAAATAGAGCTTTTCAAATCTGCATTTTTTCTCGTGGGGTTCGCCGTAGTTGTTGAGATATGTCGATTCTTGTGGGATGAAGTGCCTTCTGCATTGACGTTAATGGAGCCATATATTTCTCAAAAACAAAAGCCCCGCGCTGTGGATAGTCTTATTTGATCGCTGCTGGCGAGAGCTTTCTCACGAATATTTTGGTTCCGCTCAATTCGTTTCAGAAGGTAATTTTTTTTCAAAGCACCCGTATTCGGGCTCACACTTTCCGGCACTGTACCCCTAGAAAGGGGAGACACAAAATATAAACATGAAAGACAATGAAAAGACACGACAGACGACACCTTTTCCGGCTCACAGCCGAGAGCGGCGGCACCCTTCGCCTTCGCCTCGACCTCGTTGCGCGCCACGACCCATCGCTCCTTGTTCGAGAGGTCCGCCTGAACAAATAGAGAGGGGGGGATGACGAGAGGAAGGATTTGGGTCGAGTCAAGCAGGTCGTTTTCGAAAGCAGGAATCGACCTGTCCCACGCGAAACGGGCCGACCAGCGTATTTTTCCAGGCATTCTGGCACAAACACCCCCCGATGACCTCCTGAAGGTGAGCCTGCTGTTGGCCCACGGGGTGGCCATGGGCACGATGGCCTTTATCAGCGACAAAGAATTAAATTGTGGGAACAAGCGGGCAGAAAACGACACAAAATAGTATGTTTGAGAACACCCCAAACCATGATTGTGCTTGTAGGGTAGGTAGGTACGCTGTGCAAGGGACGGGGTTTACACGATTCCGGAAGGAGCGCTGGCCGTTCAACGCCGACTAGGTCCGCGTTCGCACGTGACGATGAAACACGACAACGTAAATAAGGGGTGCGCGCAACGGAGGCGTGCGCATGTATACGCATACATGTGGAGAGAAGACATGGCTCGTGGCACGAGCGACCACAAAAAAAAAAGAACACAACCCGAATCGGAACCCAAAAGCGACGGCAAAAAGAACATCAACCCTATCAATTCTTCAAACACCACCAGACAAACATGGTGAACATTGTCGGCATAAGTACGCCACAATCCGAGCAGCAAACCGGCAATGGGTCGTACTGAATCGACACGACAATGGAAACGAAGGGGGCGTGGGGGGGGGGCGCAATCTCGCCTGGTCGACGGCTTTCTCCCCTTCCACAGAGGCGAAGTAGGCCGGTATGCGGTGCCCCCACCACAGCTGGCGTGAGATGCACCTGACGAAACAACAGAAAGAACAAGAGCTTCAGGGGTGATAGTAAGGGGAAGGTAGGGAGGGGTCGGCATGGATGTTGTTTTCACCAGCACCAGGTCACACACCCGCACATGCCCCTCTCCTCTCCTTCTCCGTTGCCCGCCCTCCGCCACGCACAATTTCTCTCTCTCTCTCTCTCTCTCTCTCTCTCTCTCTCTCTCTCTCTCTCTCTCGCTCCCTCTCTTTCGCTCCCTCTCTCTCGCTCCCTTTCTCTCGCTCCCTCTCTCTCTGTCTCTGTCTCTGCGCTCGCTGTCTCACCAGTCCCTGCTGTTGTCGAGCCACTGGTACCACGTCTTCTCGTGCATGGGCGGCTCTATCCTGAGCTCCTTGTTCTTCACAGCGTCCACCGCCCGCTTCGCCATACGGTCGCACTTCACGTACCTGGACCGAGAACGGTGGATTCGGAACACAAATCAACTTGGGGGTGAATACATAGTGATGGAAATCGGAAGAGAAACTCGGACAGATGGATGTCGGAAGAGTAAATAGTAGACAAGCTCTATGGTAGGCGCTATGAAGATTGTTTTTGGGGGGCAGAAGGAATAGTAGACATCTTCTACGGTAGGCGCTGAGGAGATTTGTTTATGGGGGCGGAGTACAATAGTAGACGTCTCCTTTGATGGATGCTGAGGAGTGGGGATGGGGTCCAGCGAGGACTTCGCTTCTCAGGGTAGGAGATCGGAGCGGGCCTGGGATCCAGCGTTTGGATCTTTATCCTTTGGTTTTCATCCGCCCCCTTTTGTTGAAATGCAGCAGTTGGTGGTCTAATCACACACCTCACGACGGCGTGAGGCTCGCGGGCTAGGTCATGTATGTGCAACAGACCAAACAACGCCCACGTTGCTGCTCTGGTGCCTCTCCCTACATGTCACAGCAGAGGCGCCACACTCACCACCCGTGGTGTGGCCATGGGCTCGACCATGTCACCAGACCAACCAACAGAACAAAAAACGACAACGACAACAACCACCACCACAGCAACAAGGACCCCCCCCTCCGGTAGTATGGCTGCTGGATAACACCACCTCTCGCTTATCTCAAAAGGCAGAGAGAGGGAGACAGAGACAGAGACACACACAGAGAGAGAGAGAGAGATAATGAGAGAAAGTGACATCCGCCAACTCACCACTGCGGCGTGATCATGGGCTCGATGATGTCGCCGGACCTAGAGCACACCCCGAGGCGCATCTTGTGGGGGTCCTTTCCCCTCAGCAGGCCCTTAGACTCCAGGGCCTTCTCCACCTCCACGCGAGCGTCGTAACGCATCATGCCTTCGAACTCCCCTGCCTGTCGTGAGGAGCACGTACAGCAGTATGCGGCCAAGTGTTTCAGCCACCGGAAAGCAAGTATGTTGAGAAAAGTTGTGCATGTATTGTCATCGGGGGCGGCGGATCGACTGAGAGCCAACACGAATCCATCGAGGACCCTGGGCTCATGATTCCATGCACTAGACGATGCGTGTTGGGGGCGATATCGGTGAAGGAGGGGGAAGCCCAAGTCTCCTTCATCGCGAGACAAATACAAGTCATACACCGTCCGTGGAACGTCGAAAAACAATAACAAAAAACAGACACCACCCACACGAGCCTGATGCAAAAGAGCTTGACTTTCCTTCTTCCACGGCTCAACATCATCCGGGCGTAAAACGCGTTCTCTGCCACGGTCGAACGCATGGATGCAGCAGTATTTCCTCGAAAATCCCACCACCACCTTCTCGACGACGACAACACTTTGACTGTAGCCTTAATCGATACATACTAAATCGACTAATACACCACAGTGTATAGAGCTTGAACTCTCACTTCAGGTCACCCTCGCATGCCTGCCCCCGTGTTATTAGGCGTATATTACTAGGATTGGAGGCAGATACGTTGAGGAGGGTCGTCTGCCGTATGGGAAGAGGGTCTGAGCGACACCCTTGTGCCGAGATACTTTTGCACGTACATACATGCACACGCTGAACAATACTACACAGTGAGAGAACAAATGGAGAATCAGAATAGCAGCAAGACACCACGTTGGAATACAAGTATAATTGGAATACATCAAATATATTTCAATCCAATTGTGTGGTGAAGAAAGCGAGGACAAGAACAATCATTAAGAGCAAAAAACAACAACAACAAACACCGTATTGTATACCTGGGCGTTCATGGCCCCGTCCAGCCCGAGCACTGTGACGAAAGGCAGGTTGTGCCTCTTGCCGCACAGGTAGTCGTTCGGGTCGTGCGCCGGGGTGATCTACTCAAAAAGCGGAGAGAGATCCATTGACGTCAGCACAGTCAAGGAGAGCGGAGGCGACGACAGAGGAAAGAATTCAAGGAAGCACGCCCCGAGTCAGATGGGCCAGAACGGATATTACAAGCAGGTACTGCGTAGAGAACCGGAACGATGATTTTTTATGTGACAACAACAACAACAACAACAACAACAAACAACAATAACTTAGAAATGGGACCGTTGAAAGTGTTTATTTGTTTATTTAGTCGTGGACCCTCGGTCTATAGGTCGCGGTGCCCGGACACAGTGCCGGTGACCACGCCATAAAGTTAATAGTGCGGACCGACTGTCCGTGGCTCGATTGCCCCACCACCCAAGAGGCTGTCGGTGCCGAGAATGGCTTCATGTGGACCGGTATCTTCGAGAGCGTTCCTTGCACGTACCAGTCGGCTCCTCCTTAAGTTGACCCTATTGGTGTTGGGGTGGTGGATAGAGCTTTGGAATCCGGTCTTGGGGGTGCGCGAGATGACTCGAATGTCTGCGGTGTAGATTTCTGGAAGGGATTCGTCCGCGCCGGTTGCACCGGTACGAACGTTCTTACGGCACCGAGTGGCTTTAACGTGAAGAACAACAGCCACTACAACGATGACACCAGCAAGCAAGACACCACACAACAGTCTGCTTTGCCAGCGACACCCGCCATCTTAGTGACGGCGTCGTCCTCACGCCTCCCGCCAAGGCAGCCCGTTAGCGCGGTCAAAGCCCCCCCCCCCCC